TATTTTGATGCAGTAGAATATTTGTAAAAAGGACTAACCACATTTTTGGGAATTTTTTATTAATATACTGTTTTGATATATTAATAAATTTACTAAACTCATTTTGAAAACATCTCTATCATTCCTTAATTTTCCAAAATAATGTACCAATATTTCTTTGAAGAAAACATCTAAAGTATGTACATAAATAAAGCATAATGTACATTTACTGTATGTGTACACACACACACACATATGCTATATGTACTGTATGTATAACTATGTATTATATCAACTATCTCTGATAATCATTTGCTTTCTTTGCTCTGTTCCCTTTCCCATCAGTTACATCTTCACTGTTCTCTCCCCTAATGTTTCAAAGCTATAGGTTATTTCCTGCTGACTACCAGTGGACAAGAATTTCTATTCAGAACTTTTATCGGAATATTCTGTAGCTGCCAATTATGTCTTCTCTATTTTTCTTTGTATGTGTGTATAGGGGGGATTCTCTGGTTATTTTTACCAGGCCTGCCTCGTGCCACAAAATAACATTTGCTGGTTTATCATGAGGTCCCCACACTTCAAAATGCTTTCTGGCCCTTAACAGTGCTTGCAACATCTTCACATTATTCCCAGTGCTCCTTGATGGTTCAGTAATATCAGAGGTAGATGCCATCTCACAGTGTAGAACAGCATTACATTATCGAATAAAATATATATCTGATACCGGGCCTAAGTTGTGAGTGAGGTACAATTCAAATTCCTGTGGAATTTAACTGATAGATGTTCTTTTGTTTCAAAATATTTTCCATCAACATGTACATGCATATTATTGCTTTCCACAGCACACCAGCAGTTCCAGCATAAAAGTTCTGTATATAATCTCTGTATTTCTTTCTAAGTAAGTCTCCATCTAAAAATATGACCACTGTATCCCACAAACCTCTAGCACATATTGAGCTGTTGGAATAGTTAGTCCAACCTGGCCCAAATATTCTTGTTAAAGGGAATGATAAACTGCAGAAAGTACAAAGGTTTTTTTCACCTTTTTCTGCACTACTTATTATTCTAATACCAGCTACTACAAACATTGTTCTATAGAAACATTAACAGCTAAGCTTTTCATTTAGAATTTCACTGCTTATTTCAAAAGGGCCTTTCAACAACAGGAAACTGGGTATTTAAAGCAGTTGCAATGAAAAGTAGTAGTGTTGGAAATCATTAACAGGAATTACAACTATCCCTGATTCCACTTTCTCATATTTTTCTCAGTATTTTATAAGCAGGTGTGTGCATGTATATCAAACAACAGAAACTACCAGGGTTGCTTAGAGAGAGTCCTTGATAGTTTGCAATATTCTTTTGCAAACCAGAAGGAATACTAACATTCACTAAAAACAGAGTGCACAAAACAGATAATCTTTTAATTGGCACTAACTCCTCCAGGATTGTTAATTCTGTTATGATTTCAGTGAAAATTCTGAAACCAAATGCATTTATAATCATACCAGAATGTTACAGATAATACAATACATTCTTTGTTTGTTTGTTTATTTATTTATATATCAAATTTATATCACCACTGAACTCCCCCACAAGGAGGGACTCTGGGTGGTTCACAACAAAACAATTTAAAATCAATAAAAACAAAATAATACAGTATAAAATACAATTATTAAATATAATAAAATCTAAGCGATGGTGATATTATTTCAGCCTGTGACCAGATAATATCGGTCAAAGGTAAGACTAGG